CAGTACTCTTTCTTGCCATGGCAGGGGGTCGGACTTGATGATCTGCTCAGGTCCCTTCCAACCCTAGAAACTATGAAACTATAATCAAGCACCAGAAGCCAGACTTGCTTGCCAGGCCAGGTGTTTGATTTCATAGCAGCCACCCTGGTTTCTGTCAGCAAGGGCATATCTTTCACGGATCCATTTATCATCCTTAAATGAGCTTATCTTCGCTGGCTGAGGTGTCCTCCAACAAGTGAGGACTTCCCCTTTCCTGTTTAGCCATTTGTCATCTTGCACCTTCATGATGCGCCGTGCTAGACTTAACCTCAAGGACATACTGGACCACTTATTCCTGAGGCAAAAATCCACTGGGAATGACAGTGAAAACATCCAGTGGGGGAAGGGTCTGGGGAATGTGTGCCAGGGGGTGCCCTTTCTTCTGACACCCCCTACTTGTATCTTTGGTGATGGATGCCTTTCAGCATGGATGAGAAGAGTATATCTGTAACCTGCAGGCGCAGGGTCTGTGGCCACCAAAAGAAACACCATATAAGGATCTTGGAACCCAGGGGGTATAGACAGCACGATGAGTGTTTCTCCATAGCTTGCTTAACATAGCAAAATGATATTTGAGGTATACGCTTTCTTTTTGTATTTGCCAGGTGATTTTCAGGGAAAAGAGAACTATTGAAGATAAGGGCAATACCAGCATAAAATACAGAATGGTGATAAACTGGTTCTGATAAATTTAGACTGGAAAGTAGATGATTTCTAGTAACTAGAAGATTGGTCTTCAAACAATGTAGTGGGAGGAAAGAACCCACATTTCTTCTAGATGGAACTCAAGTTACAGGGAAGGATGGTATGAGATGCTAAGGGGATTTTGGGATCAATAATAATTGATTTTGGAATATACATTTAAGTGTTTGTATTCCTCATGTTGGGTCAAGAGGTAAGTTCTTCCTCTGTGCTGGAGCTGCCTGGTAATCTTATGCATCAGGGCTTCTGCTAGCTTCCCCCTTGTGAATGCTTTACAGGTTTCAGGAGCAGGCTTAATCATGGCTAGTGACTGGCAGGCCTTGGCCTTCTGGTCAAACTGATTGCCAGATTTGGAATTGGGAAGCAATATTTCCCAGACCAGTTGCAAAGCTGGGGAGAAGGGAGAATTGCCTTCCCCTGTAGTGTGGAGCATGGTCCTGTTCCTAGGACCCTCTCCTCTGTGCACACAATAACAAGATCACTTATCTGCCACTGTAGCAACATGATATTAGTGGTGCTTTTGTCCCACCTGCTTCTTACCTATAGCCTGTTGTACGATAGTTTGGAGGGGTGGGGAGGGTGGTTGGTTTTTTCTTATTTTCATAACATGGCACTTTGTAGCTGGCATATGAGCCATTGGAGCAGATGATTTTTAAGACACTCTGGATAAATGCTTGCAAATGCAGAGGACAGAACTTGAAAGCCTGAGGCAACCCTTTTATTCCTGTATTTCTGAACTGCCATCACAATCCACAGAATCCAGGATCATCAGTGGAAAATTTGAGGTCAATTTTCTGCAGAGTACATGGAACTTTGTGTCCCCTTTACAGTTTATTTTAAAATGAAATTAAGTTTTACTGTGCCCCTGCCCCCAGCTGTTACTTCTCAGAGCACTACTTATTTTTTTAGGACAATACAAAGGTTACTGTTATAAGGAGGGAAAGCACAGGAATTTTTTTTGTAAAAACCTATTTACTAAACCTTACTGCCAAAATCATCAATAGTGAAACTAAATTTCACTATTGGTATTATTCATCTCTGTAGTTCCAGAGTATCATCTAGACAAGTGCTTTCAGTTGTTGGTCCCTCTTTGTCTAGATACTTTGGTAAAACTCTTCACTGGAGTAAAATTTAGACCTTCCTGTGGGGCCAGAATAGGGCACAACTCTTTCCCAAACCATTTACAGAACCAGCTACAAGACAAAGTATACCTGGTAGAGAGGATTCAAATGATGCGTATCCTGAATGGTACTCTTGATCTGACTGGGTATATGAAACAAAAGGGGGGAGGAAAACATACCCTCACTTTCAAGTAACCTTATATTTTCTCCATCTTGCTGAAAGAGCTAACATTTCACTTCCCAGTATACTGGGAAAATGTTGTGAAGGACAAGCGGAGTTGGTTCAAGCTGACCCTCACTACCAGCAGATTTTAGAAGGAAGGGGGAGTTAATATCTCTTAAATGTGAATTGTTTTCCTGTTAATTCTATTTTGTCTAAGTATATTCTTTCCCAATCTTTTTTGTTTAGGTGGATGCATGTATCCAGAAAACAACGGTTGTGATGACTATATTGTCCCAAATTCTTCCACTTTGCTACAAGTTACTGAGAAAGGTGAGTTAAAGATCCATATTGAAGAATGGGGACAAATGCAACCACCCGGGCTGTGTCCAAACGTGTGGACATTTGGTTCCCTGGGGACAATTAGTGATGGCACACCTTGTGCTGCCACTAGTTGTCCCCAGAGAATGCCTGTGCCATGCACGTTGTGGCATGGGGCAAGCTACCCCAGGTGGGGTAAGGGAGGCTGGGGCCAACACTAGGCTGACCCCAGCAGTGTTACCTGGGTCCTGGGGACCTCCAAAGACTGCAGTCATGACAGTCCTGCCACACAGACCCTGGTTGGCAGTGGGTGGTATGTGCTGCCGCTCTGCGTGCCACTATTTTTTCTGACCCCTGGATATCCAAGGGTCAAAAAAACCCATCTGCACTGCTCCCTTGCAGCACAGAGAACAACTGAATGTGTGGTATGTGGCACAGCAGACATGTATGCTATGCCACTTACTGCAGTCATGCTCATCTGAACTCAGCCCCCAAGTGCTTTTTCTAATATTTTTTTTTTCTTGCTACAGCAAAAAGCAGGGAATGGCTATGCGATCTCCTCCCCCCTGGAGGGAGAACAGAATTCAAACAAAAATAAATGAAGAGAGTCTGGAAGGGAAAACAGAAGCCTTTGGAGTCATATCCTTGGAACATCATGTAGCAAATCTGACATTTTTAGAGAGTAAATAATTCTAGCACTTAGGAATGTAGGAATTCCTTATGGAAATTATAAGCTTGCTGAGTTTCAAGGTTGCTTTCTTTTGTGAAAGGTAAAATCGGGATAAATGAATTCAAACTGTTGTGACCTTTTCACATCTAATAGATGTCATGGTACTTAACAGTAGTATTTGCAACATCAGTTAGTTTAATTGCTGTGTATTTTTATAGTGTGGGTATGTTTCCTTTTGCTCACCATTAATACTGCTATTTTTGTAAGAAATACTTGTGAATGTCTTAATGAAAGTTTCAACCCAAAGATGCTGCTAATGGACACTTATGCAGAGAAACTAAATGGCTCTAAATATGCTATGTGTAACTAGTACTGTTAAAGTTTGTCAAAGTATCATCTCTGGCCTGTTTCAGTCTATATATTTGCTAAAGCAGCATCAGGAAGATAGTCTGGAAGGTTTTGGCCTAAAGCACTGAGAAATGTTGTTATCTTCATTATGTGGTATTTCTGCAATGAAGACCTATTGTAAAACCTCACACTGTTTCTGCAATACATCTGTCAACTTATATTTAGGTTAGATAATTGATTTAAATGTCAACAATTCTTATGTTGTCAATTTGAGTCAATGAAGCATTTACCTCCCCAGAAAACTGCATTTCCAGTGGATTAATACTTTAGTCAAGAATTAATTTTCTTTCTTTGTAATCTCTTTATCTATAGATAGCAGCCCTTGTGGCTTCCTTTGATTTTATCAAAACTTAATGAATAGAATTTGAAATGCAAGTGAAAATTACTGAAGTTTTAATTTCGAATGTATGCCATATTGAAGTTCCCTAAAATAGATTTTTACAATGCAACATTTAAAATTCTATTTAAAGCTACTTTGGAGTCATATAATGCCCTTTGTGCAGTGATTGGACATCATTTCTACCAAAGCACCCTGTCACCACCTGCGAAAACACATTCAAACAAATGTAGGGAATGTATGCTTACTCTACATACATGGATCCCAGTGATTATTTTGTTGGTCCTGTATTTCAAAACTCATTGTTTGATCTCATTTCTTACACTTAGTTTTATTGTACTTGTTTTATTACTTTGAGGGCTGTAGGGTATCCTGGAGGTTCAAGACCCAAGTACATTTAATTCTTGCAGGACACAGTTGTGCTGTCTGCAAGTCCTTTGCTGGCAATGGACATTACGTTTAGGAAAGTTTGATTTTTATAGCATTAAAGAAACAATGAAACCCTCTGAGTGATTGAGAATGGGAAAGAGTGGTCTCAATCTGTCTGATCCCTTTTGCTTATAAACCTGGATAGTGAACTTAGGTAGACTTTTGTTGATGGATTAAAGAGATTAAGGAATAAGTTTTATTTACACTGAACCCTCAGAATAAATGCAGAGAATACATCATGGGATTTTTTTAGCTTTTTGTCTTTGTGCAAAATTGAAGTATTGAACAAAGTTGTTGAAATGCATTTAAAAAAATAATTCCACTTAAAATTAAAGAAACTGACATTTTCCATCTCTAGCATTAGGTCTGTGCAACTTCTAGCTTTTCATGTTAACAAGTGTCACCTCACTTCACTTCAACATGGGATATACTGGAAGAGGACTTTTGTCTGATTTACATTCTGTAACGTACATCTGTGTGTTCAGGTAGAAATAACTTCAGGAGCTGGAATTAAGACGATGCAACAAGATTCCTTCATATTCCTCCCGTGTCAAAAGTCCCTGAGTTACAATCTTGCTTTCTTCAAATTTTGGCAGTACTACTGCAATGTACCCTTCAGTAGACGGCTACAAAATAAGAGTAAGATTTGATACAGGAATAAAAGTGAGGAAAAAATAAAAAGCAAACAAAATATTTACCTTCTCTTGCAGAATAGCTGGATTATTAAGAAGGTTTTCATTCACTTCCATCAACCGACCTCTTATACAACTGCAAAGAAGTTCAAATGTGCTTAGCATACAAAGAGTGTGCTTAGCAGACAGAAGTACAAGAAAGAAGCTACTCACCTATGTATAGTATATTCTTCTCCATCTGAACAAGATATCCTACACAGGGGGGCAAGTGCTGTTAAAAACTGGGCACCCTACAACAGGAAACAAAGCTGTGAATTTAAAGGCAATTAAAAAGTACAATTCCTGAATAGGGAAAAAGGCATGGATTTCTTGGGCTTATCTCTTTTACTGGACCAGCTATGTAGTTGAGATAGTTGGACAAGCTTTTGAATAAAAGACATTCTTACTTGGGTCATATACTTACCTAAATCTAAGATGACCCTGAACTTGATGCTTCCCTCCCATTCCTCCAATAACTAGATTCTATACATAAAACTATTTTCTATAGTTTTCCATGTATAGAATCTGATTATTGGAGTGCTGTCTTAAATTCATTCCCTACCACTGCAGTAGGGATGACAGTGGGGGGGGAGCAATGGACACCCTATGTCTATTTCCCCTTATACCACAACCACATAGCACCCCAGCTTGCAGCCTCAGGCCCTGTGCCCCCTTCCCCTTCTGCATCCTCTCTCCCCTCCCCTGCTTACCCTGGCTTTGCACCAGTAGACTTAGTCTCCACTCCAGGCTTGAGCCAGGATTGCTGAGACATGCTTGCAATTTAGTTATGAGCCAAACTATACTTCACTGAAGGAAACTGCACTGATTTGAAGGGCCTATTTTGCTGGTCTTAAAACCTGGTTCTGATCCATTTGCTTTAAGCTACTGAAATGAATGTCCACAGGGTCTTTTCCACTGGTTTAAATAAATACACTTGAAATCACACCTCCAGCCTATTCAACTGTGTTAAATAACCCCTAAGCTGGTGGTTTTCCCAGCATCTCCCAGAAACAGAGGTATGCCAGGCAGGTGGAACAGTCCTGTCTGCCTGTTTCTGGGAAGACTGAACCAGGAGAGGCGGTGGCAAGAACAGGTGTTACACCTCAAAAAAGGTGAGAGAAGAACTAGAGGAGATCTAGAGAAGAGCAACAAGGATGATTAGTGATATGGAGGGGCTTCCACATAAGGAGACTAAAGAAGCTACACCTATTCAGTTTAAAAAGGAGACACTTGAGGGGGGAGGCATTATACTAAAATAATAAATAATTGTGGAGAGGAAGTAAGTAAGGATTTATTATTTACTCCCTGTCACAACAGAAGAACTAGGGCTCACAAAACAAAACGTAGTGTGGAACTCATTGCCACTGGATGCTGTGGAAGCTGACAGTTCAGCCAGATTCAAAACAGGATTGGACAAGCAGCTATTTTGAGCATGGGAGTTAGGGGTACAGCCTCTGAATTAGAACTTCCTAGACCCTAAATGCTGGAGGCTGCAAGTGGGAGAGGAAGAGGGGAGAAACCCTGTTCACTCTCCCTTTCAGCATCCGCTCTGCCACTGTGTGACACAGGACACTAGGCAAAATGGACCTATGGTCTGAGCCAGTAAGTAGTGGTTCTTATGGTGCTGCTGTCTGCTTTAGGGTTATCAGATCATCCTAATGTAGGCAGGTGCGCATGCTCATGCCTCAGTCCTTCCTGGTCTAGCTAGGAACAAGGCACATGGAGCAGTTTCACCTTGCAATGGCAGCAACAGTCCTGCTTGCGAACCAGCTGGACAAGCTGAGGAAGCGCAATAGTAGTTCTCAACCCAGGTGCCATCCCATTAAAGTTACAGAGGAGCACCCTGACTCCAGAAAGGTTAAAAACCATTACCCTAAGCTTTTTTTATGCCCTCTTCAAAAGAGCTGTTGCTCTTACCAGTAAGTCTTGACATCTCTGCTAAAGAGTCTTTTAACGTTTGATACTATCTGCTTAAAAAATATGCAAAGGCCCCTCTTCAAGCTTTGTGTGCGTGAGGGAAAATTAACAGTGTTATGTAACCTTGTTCAGAACAATTAAACAACAGGGTGCTTAAAATACCTGCAGTAAACTCCTACACTAATTCTTCTAAATGCAGTGCCCCTGGCAGCCCTAAAACAGATGGTTAACAATGGCAGGGAGCATGAGAGATTGCTGCCCTGGAAAAGAACTAGTATTAAAGTGGTAAGGGAGGCACTTCAGCGTTAACTGGAATGTAAACAGACAAACTGGTCAAAAAGAAAAAAAACCAAAACGTACCCGCTTTGACTTCCCAGAGACCTTATTTTGAAGTCTGCTACAGTGAGCAGTAACTTGGTAATTAATATTCTTAATAGTTTTTCCCTTTTGAAGAACAGGATGAGATTCTGCTAGAGTGATGACACAGATTCTGCAAGGAAATCATAACAATTATATACTAGCCTTAAGCATCCCTTTAATAATGAGTACATTTTTAACTCTTATACTGAGGCTTTGTGGCAAGCTGCATTTTCTTGCTTCCCCACATTAATTCACCCACAGCCTTCTCACTTAAGCTTGGATAGGCTTAGATAGCCCTTCAGGGTACATCCAGACAAGTGTGCATGTATGCTTCCCCAGGAACAAACAGCAGTGGCACATGGTGATGCTGCTGGTTGTCCCCAGGGAACACCCCTGCATCTGTACTTTGGCACACAGCAAGTTGTCTGGGTAAGGGAGGCTGGGGTCCTTGGGGCCTCCCAGGTCTGCAGTGGCAGCAATCTGGGCACATGGAGCCTGGCTGGCAGCAGTGTGGTTCTGGCCAGCCAAGCTCCAGTTTCTCATGGTGGAAGCTGCAACCACATGCACTGCCCCACTTTTTGAAACCTTTTTGTTTTTTGTTTGGATACCAGAATTTCCTGGTATCTAATTTTGGCTCCACGTTGCAAATATGCAGCACAGAGAACCACTTCACATGCACCGCATGCATTCTGCAGCACCTCAAAAGCCTTTGAGAAGCCACAAAGTGCATGTGCGTGCGTGCTCATCTGGATGCGCCCTCAGTGTCTGCCCACAACTCTACAAGAAATAGGAAACAGCTCCACTTAGTGCAGCAAAACAAACTACGAGATGTTCTAATTTTAAAATTCCAATAGCAAGGCCAAATTAAATTCTCCCGGTCATATGTGCAATTCATTTGAACATCTTGGCTTCATGCTATATCCAAGGTCAGGATAGGACCTGCATAAACTATTATTTTTGTTACATGAGCCCAAAAAACAAAAAAAGCTTTTCAGATTCCACAGTAAAATGGCAACACAGCTGAGCAAATCTTAAACAGAAGCCAAAAAGGAAATCTCCCAGGATGTTTAATAGTAAACTAGCTCCACAGTTAGTGGTTCCTCAGATGACAGATGATACTGCTATGAATTATTTCCTTGTTTTAAATGTTAACAGTTTATTTAGAAAGGATGACAGTTTAAGGCCAGCAGCCTCCCAGTTTAAAAAGAAAGAGGCAAACACCAAAATACAATAAAAACAAAGTGGCATTACAAAAATTAAGGCTTTTTTGGACTTGGTGTACACTCCTAGTGTGAAATGATGCATCAAGGCATAACCATTATCACAAAATGTGCACATACCAACGCAAATCGGGTATATCGATTGAAACCTAAAAGGTACCCACCCCCTGTATCTACCTCCTTTCTCACAAAACTCTACATGTACTAAGCAGTGTCCTGTGTATTATACAAAAGTTGCTAACAACTTCACTTTGATACAGAATTATGCTCATTGAAAAAAAGTATAACCCTTACACTTTCCAAGACCAAGATGAATCTTGTGTACGCCAGTACAGTAGCACTTACTTGACTCCCAAAGAAATCCAAAGTAAAGGATGTGTTCATGGCCCAGAGCCATTACTTCAACTTCTAGGGTTGCTGACACTGGTTTCCCAATCTGCCAGCGAAAAGGTTGGTGTTTTGAGCATAGGATTTACATCCATAGCCAGATACCTACTGTTTAATTACTGGTCTTCCTACCATGCCCCAACCTCTTACTGCTTTCTCCACTAAAGGAAGATGAAGTATAGTGTGTTTTTTCTCTGCTGCTCCAGAGAACAAGGAGGGTGAGCAGCCTTCGCTGGGCAAGCAGAGCTTCTTGGAGGAACAGCCAAGGCTCAACACCCCAGTGAGATGAGTTCCTAGACTAGAGCCAGGTGTAAGGAGATTCGATTTGGGTCACCTGGGCATCATCAGAACCGAGACCTGAAGATGACCGGATGGCTGCTGAAAGAGAACACAACTGAAGACCCTTCTTAAAAGTATTTCAGGGCTACATACAGCATTTTCATATACAAGATGGGACTCTATGAGCAGTAGAGGGAGTGAAGGGAATTCCCGAGTGATACAAGCTAATGTCATACACTCAAGGTGCTGCTATTACAGAGCCTCCAAGCATGAAAGCAACATTACTGAGAATTAGAGGGGGCCATAAAGAAGGCGTCTCTATTTATGGAATGAGTGCTTGTATTTTTTCAGTGGTGTTGGTTATAGCTGTGTTGGTTAAGGTTCTCTGGGTAAATGTGATACCTTTTATTAAATTCTTATCTTTTTAGTTAGTTGGTATAATAAAAGATATTACAATCTTTTAAAAGATGGTATAATAAAATATATTACATTTACCCAAAGAACCTTGTCTGCCTATGTACTCTTTCACACACTTAAATGTGCTTTGTAATGTTGGGGTGTCCTGTAACTGAACTGACCTAATGCATGAATCCCACAGAGATGATGAGAGGCCATGTCATAAGGATTTAAACAGGTTCATCTTAATACCTGGACTGAATAAGCTTAAAAAAAGAAAACCAAGCAGGAAAAAGGAAAAAGTCCACACACTCCACGTGTCAACAAAAAACACCAAACAGTGTTTGTCTCCTGGCATTACCAGAAGGCAAACACTACGATAATTGAAATAGGGCATGCCAAAACAACAAGACTATTGAGGTTATCAGTGGAACGATTGTCAGTGCCAGAGAGAAATGACAGCTCAACAACAAAATAAGCATCGCAGCTAGAGGAGTCCAAAGACACCAGTGCTGGAGGGAGCTATTTAACAGACATCAGAGAAACCAGAGTCTGAACAACAGCCAAGCTGTCCATGACAGAATCTCCATTTCTCACTGCATGCAGCTAAACATTAAATCAAAATACTATGGGGATTCAGCCTTGACAGCTAGTCTCAAAATAAGGCTGTCTGCTCATACTTCAAATGGCATCCATTTGTGAGAGGAGAGCAGAGATCCAGGATTATAAACACAGGTTTTTGAAAATAATCATTTTTCAAAGTTTTTTGGCAAGCCAAAAGAATAAGCCCAGCTAGTACAGAAGTCAGTAAAAAAGTTTATTTAATAGATAACTATAGACAGCATGTACACATGGTATTACATAACAGGAGAGGATTATAACTTCCTACTGCACTTATTTGCTTCCACTGGCAGGAGTAAATTGAACCAAATACGCTGTCAGACAAGGCAGGGTAATGTGGCACCTTGTAGTTATGAGCTTCTGCAACCTGCTTCATCAGATGCTATGAATGGACTTGCAAAGAGAAGGGAAAAGTTTTCAACTAAAAATAATCACACCTCAAATTAACCTAATTGACTACAATACTGCCACTGTACTAAACAGAAAGGAATAAGGCAAGGGTTCTCAATCCCTGGGCTGCGGCCCAGCACCAGGCTGTGGCGGATCAGCTGCCGGTCTGTAGCACAGTTGGCTGCCTGACTGGAGGTGGCTGCAGACCAGCAAACCGCAGCCCCCAAAGCTGGGTAGAGAGGCCGCGGCTCCTTCTGTAGGGCCCACCACAGGGTTTGGCCTACCCCCTGCCCAGGGGATGGGGATCCTTACCTATCTGCCAGCTGGAAATTTCAGCCGTGATCAGCTGCGACTGCTGGGCTGCGGTTTGCTGGGCTACGACCACTTCTGGAGCCATTGTTTGCCAGACTGCAGCATAAAAACTTTGTGAGAACCCCTGGAATAAGATAATTTAAGTACAAAGGTGGGGAAAGGGGACGGCAAGAGGAAACACTGCTGAGAGAGGCAAAGGTGAGTTGAAGAGATCAAAGGGAACAAACAAAATAAACCCATTGAGGCATATAGGGGTTATAAAAACTAATCCAGATAATGGATGAAGAATTCAGAGTCTACTGAGACCACACTTAACACCATCCAGTCTGTGGATGATTGTTCGCTACAGTTTCATGTAGTAGAAAGCAGGCTTTATTGACAAGCTTCCAGCAAACCCTGTATCAGCCATCATGTAAGTGACATTTCAACATCACCCATGAAGACAAATTATAAGACATAAGAATCTTTCTTCAGGCAATTTTGCTGTCTGCTGGCTACTCCTGGTCTCTCTTCTCCTACTTCACAGTCTTGCAGACTACTTCTTAGCTCTGTCCTTTCTCTCTGCAACCATAGCTCTGGAAAAATCTTTTTTCTTTGTTCTGCCTCCCAAATAAACAAGGTGTATATTTTATTCCAGGCCATGTTTTATGTGAGAAAATATGATATTTCCGATTTGGAGACTCCTTATGCCTATAAATGAGGTGGTTACAGGATCCTGTAATACCAGGGTACAAACTATACAGGAATGACAGCATAAGTCATACCAGTGGGTGAGCACCATACCTTCCACTAAAGACAGTACTGAATCAAAAAGTAAAAATCAGAGAATCATAGAATCAATGAGTCGGAAGGGACCTAGACAGATCATCTAGTCCGACCCCCTGCCATGGGCAGGAAGGAGCACTGGGGGTGGCAGGGGTCATAAGACCCCAGCCAGGTGCCTATCCAGTCCCCTCTTGAAGATCTCCAGGAAGCCTATTCCAGGCTCTGGCCACCCTTACCATGAAGTAGTTCTTCCTAATATCCAACCTAAACCTATTCTCCCTCAGCTTGTGGCCATTGTTCCTGGTGACTCCAAGGGGGCCCTGGTGAACAGATTTTCCCCGAGTCCCTGCTGGTGGCCCCTGATAAGGTTGTAGGCAGCCACAAGATCCCCCCTCAGTCTCCTCTTGTGGAGACTGAAGAGATTCAGGTCCCTCAGCCTCTCCTCATAGGGCTGGCCACGGAGGCCCTCAACCATACGAGTGGCCCTCCTCTGGACCCTCTCCAGGTTTTCCCCATCCTACTTGAAGTGTGGTGCCCAGAACTGGACACAGTACTCCAACTGCAGCCTGACCAGCAGCGCATA